ACCGTCAGTCGGTCAGTTTTAGATATCGTCAGTTCTTTTTGATGGGTAAAGGGTAGATCGCCGTGGCGGACAATATCACCGCTAAATACAGTTTCTCGCCAGTGCCTGAACATCAGAAAGAGGCATCCCGAGTCAAGAGCACTGTTTTTCGGCTCGCTTATTCTGAGTCATTTCTGCTTGTCATCCGTCGATCGAATGACATGAAAGAGCTTCACGTATCATCGTCTCCAGTGATATTCGCAGGACATGTCCAATCAGCCGTAGTTGCGACGACCCCTCGATCGTTATAGCAACCGGCTCGGTTCAAGATGTTTTCTTGGATCGCTGACCCACGACCTCTCGCAACTTTGTCCTTATTACCGTAGGTGGGTGAACACCGAACACTGAAATCAAGGAATTTCGTCCTCGGCGGATTTAGTTTTACCTTCATCACGGTAGTTCAGTACTCAGTATTCATTATTTATTTATACTTCTGTCTGCGTTCAGCATCCGCATTTATACAGCATGCAACAGCAAAGTAATTATTACGTAGCTCCTGGAAAAGCAAGAGACGACACTTTAAAGCACGATGGTACGAATTAGGTGCGGTGCGACTGACTTTCTTTGGAGCTCAGTTTATGTTTTCGGGAAGATGACGTTTTCTCATGTAGCGGAACTCTGAGACTAGCTGGCTGTAAAATTTGTGTGAAGTGGGTGGGTGATATTTTAAAATACCGTTCAGCGAAAATCAGACATAAATCTGTCATACGTAGTATGTACAATGACCTTAGTCACGAGACTGTATTGCAGTCCTCCAGATCTCGCGACTCTCCTAATACATCACCGCCTCGGCACAAGATCGCCCCCATCTCCGGTTTAAGCTCGAAAATCGACTTGCAACGCGTTAGTAATAATTGGCATTATACGGTATCTTGTATATCGCCTGCGCCGGTCAAAAGGGGTTACAAGGAAGTTTAAGCGGTGAAGGAAAAATGTAGGTTTCTGCGCCTTGTCGATAACGTAAACCATGGCTGGGAATAGTTCACGGAAATCTCCGCTTGCTCTTTCTAGTGCCTAGTCAATCTTTTCTTCCCACCTTCCGTCGCTCGAGCTACATAAAGTACTCGATCTGTATCGGTGACGTTGTACTGAACTACAAAGCGCACTCGGTGTTGGAACGTTCTAGAAACGCAGAATCACCTGAAAACAGTAAATCATCTTGGCATCCCATGCTCTGAAGCATTCATTTCTTTGACCATACCTGGTGGTCGCTCGAGTATCAAACGAGTAGGAAGTCAGAAGAAGTACGAGCTCATTCACTGCCGGAATGCAGTGCTGATGATGAAACGCCTCCACCTGTTGCTGTCGGCCGTCAATAGATGACAAACGAATGAATTAACACCACCAAACCCGTAGTCCTGCACGCACGCCCACAATTTGTGGCAGAAACTCGATGGTTGGTCATATTTTGCGGTCAGTAAAGCGTACATGCGCCTGATGAGCTAATTGCCTAGATTTTTCACAAAATGCGGATCATGGGAAGGCTAAACGCGATGTCCACCGTGTGTCGAGTTGTGTGACAAATTCATAGTTGATTTGCAGCTGTTGGATGTTTTGAGTGTGTGTGTGTGACAATGACATCGGATGTATTTACATGTGCTGAAAATCTGCCTGTTCACAGAAGTTGAGCTTACTGTAAGCAAACAGTAGCGTTTGGAATTTTGTACGAACTCCTCCGATCGAGACTCAACGAGTACAGTACAACATAAATGCAGTTCAGAGAAAGGATAAGATGAAGCCGTCGGCAGCGACTGTCAAATGATTGGACTCCAACGTGATCCTAATTCGTTCTAAGGAGGATCTACAGATGTGGAAACTCAAGGAGTCCTAGAGATACTTGCATGTTACATAATAAATGTTGCAGCGTAGATGTATGTCAAATTATACCCTTCAAAAAATTGCGCTTATCGAAAATGTTTCAAACTTAAGCTGGGTATCGTCTAAAATTCAGATTCTGAAATTCCGAGTTAGTGGGACCAATTTTTGAAAAAAAGTTTTTTTGTAAACAGTGTATTCCGACAGCGGTCATTATGTTCACCGTGTGCCTTAAAGGTGGACAGTTGCAGTCCGAGA